GTTGTCTCTAAATAACCCAGGTTTTATTCTAGGGAAAGGTCTAAATTAGGCTTCCTTTTTTAGGCAATAGCTCTAATAGAGGCAAACATTTTGGATAGTTACAGCGTCGTTTTTGTTCTCCCTTAACTGGTGTTAGAAACCAGCATAGATGGGCTTGTGTTTCTGTTTTTGAATTGATAACTACATGATCACTTCATAAGACATGCTCTGGGTAGCAAGTCTCTCCTAGAGAGAGAAGTTCCTGTCACTCTCAGTATTGTTTCTTCTTTAAGGAAGACACTGGTGGAGATGAACAACTTACTATTTAAAAAGTATTTCCCATGGATTACTGCTTATGATTATACCATGCATTGGTATGGAATAATCATGAGCACTGGCACATGTGGAATGGATCCTGGATGCATATAGTAGGGTTGCTAATATTACTGAATAATAGAGCATTTATGAAATAATTAATTTACATTCACAACAGGTTTCCAGTTCTGACCAGAATCTTTCTTTAAGAATTTAAAATAACCCTTACTTCCTTGTTTCCATTCTGTAACCTTAATACCGCCACTGTTTTGCAGGTGAATTATATCCTTGCCAGTCTTTCCCAAGATCACTTTCAGGGACACATGTATTTGATGCATATAAATCAGTAACATATCTACGTATACTTGTGTTTATATTTAAATAATCTGTATATCTGGAACAATTGTAAACTACATATAGACCAAGACCAGGTCCTGAATCTAAAACGTATTTTGGATCTTGGTAGTATCGGAGAGTATCAAACTATCTTAATGGCCTAATTACACTGCCAGAGGGTACCAGGATAGAAAATGATGTCTTAATCCAGCCTTTTATCTCTGTAGAAAGAGTTGTGGTAACTCTGTGCTGTATGTACATGAGGAATATACTGAACCATGTACCTGCATGCTGCAGTGTTTTCATGGGAAGCTACAAGGTTGTATATCTTTTACGCTGTCCCTTTACTCTCCCCTTCACAAATCAGTGCGAGACTATTAACTTACAGTTGTTTATAATCCTTATACCTGGTTTATAAAACAAAATTCTACAGTTCTGTAGAATTGAATTGTTTATATAGGTGGGTTTTTTTGTTTTTTCCAAAAACCCAAAGTCTGGATAAAAAATTTAAACATAAAAGCTATAGGAGAAACTCAAACGGAATTTCATACTGTGGCTCTGAATAGCATTTGCAGATGTTTGCTGAACGGAATTTCTTAAACCTGCATGACGCTGATTCCAGTTGATAAGACCAATTAAAATGGGTTATGCCAAAGTCTCTTTGCATGTACAATATAGAATTAAGTACCAGATTTCTGTAAAACTATATGCAAAAAAGAAACAAGACACAGAAAGGAGGACTCTAGATCCAGTGTTTTTGTTACACACCAAACCAATTACACGTTATGTTGTCTTTGGGAAACTAGAGGCTGTCTGACGAAAATATTTTTCCTATTTCCCCTCTACTTTCCCACTACATTTTAATGACAATGCCTGGCTGCTTCATGTGAGAGAAACATACTGACAACTAGAGAATCTGTGCAGAGAATTTCGGAATGCTGTTGAACCGCTTTGTTCAACATGAAGAAAGAACCATAACATTTAGAGTATCTTTCTTCCTTTGTATACCTTTTATCACCTTTTGTTACCATTTTATCAACTTTTCTGATAAAATATTATAACATTAAGGGTAAAGTGTTTGCATGAGAATTACTGTTTAGATGATTTACTGGATTCTCAGTGGCTGAATATAAATTGTCAGTAGGTTTAATTTTTTGTATTATTGAAAGCCCAATGATAGCTACAGATAATGTTTTGTACTGGTATTGTCTCACGTTTAAGGATCTGAAAATGCTACATAAATACTATTTTAGCCTTAAGTCTAGCTTCCCTTCGTCTACTCCTCCAGTCATGGTACTGTACACTTATATTTTATAAATGTATAAGGCTAAAACTCCCCATCCCAAGGAAAAATGGCATGGACAGGCTTTGGGTAAGTCTCAGGCCAGCTCTGCATCCCTTTTATAGACAAGTACTTGAGGATTTCTGCAGTTCCCTACTGTACAGGCCACTTGTTCCCCAGGTCTGGAGAAGTACAGATAGTGCATAAAGCCTCTCTAAACTTTGTGCAGTTGTTCCTTGGCCAACTCAAAATCCTGAGTTTCAATCTCCATTGCAAATGTTTACACATGGATTGCACTTGTGGCTTCTGAACATCTCTAGAAAAATAATATTTATTACTTTCTAAGGTGCACTGTGCCATAATTTTGGCTTGGACTTGAGTGCTTCACAGAACATTTAGTGTGTGGTGACTGTGGGACATTAAGTATTTATAATCTTCACCGCAAAAGGATATTCTTCTGTAAAACACTGTATTCCTTTAACCATGAAGTGGGTTTTTTTCTTCTTAAATGAGATATTTTTAAACCCATTTTTCCTTTTCATGTATAAAACTGTAATCTAATTTTTGACATTTGAACCTGGGAATGAAATCGCCATGGGAGGAGCAGGCATCCATTTGCTGTGCGGATTTGGCTGTTTAACTGCTCTCCTATCTCTGCCCTGGAAAAAGAACTCTAAATCTCTGCTGTAGCCTCAGTGAGTGGTGCTTGAGTAGCCTTTCATTCCCACTGCCAAGTAATTTGTATTAATGGTGAGCTCAGGGCAAGAACAGTTTCCACTCTGTTTGCACAGACAAGCATACATGAAGGTGGACTCTCAAATGTTCTGTCAGGCTGCTCAGTGATACATAAAGCTCTGTTGTGTGCATTAGTGTCTTACATAAACAGAAGTTACCTTCAAACTATTAGACCTTAGAGCACTTCCCAGCTTGAAGGTCTAGGTGCCTACTCCAGCCTCAACCATGCCCTTCCACAACAACATGGTTTACTAGGGATGAGCCCCAGAGAGGTGGCTGCTCTAAGCAGATCGCGTACAGCTACCTGAAGGCTGCCAGCCACAGGTGGGTGAGCCACAGGTTAGGCATAGGCACTGACTGGTTTAGGTTAGTTGCAAAAGTCTTGCTGGAGCTAGGATTCCTCTGGATGAAAAATCACTTTAAACCAGTAGTTACCATAATCTCAAAGCAGGTGTCTGCTAAATGGGTCACTGAATCCAGCAATGACTCGTCTCCTGGTTTATTTTCAGAAAGCCAGATTGCAAACAGTTACTTGAGCAGTCCCAGCAGAGTAACTGTTCCCCACTTCAAGTAGGGGGTTCACAATCTGGCTCAAATTAAAGCCATCTGGCAGCATTTTCTTATATACGTTATGAGCCAGAAACCTTCACCCTCATCATGTTCAATCAGCAGGATGCCTAACAGAGAAGGGTACTATTCCACATGAGTAATGGTGGTAGAAACTGTCCCCTACATGATTTTGCGTCGGTGAGTTTTTCCTGTTGTAAATTTCTAACAGTCCCATCAGCCATGTGTAGCTCATTAATCTACAGTGAAACACATCTTTAGCTGCCAAAGCAACTAGAAAACAAAATATATAGCCTGAAGAGGTTGGTCTTTAGCTAAAGGTCAGATAGAATTGTACAGGAAGCCTCTAAAGAAAGGAATCTGCTGAAGTTGAAGTTGTAACAAATAGTATGAGTTGCTGAGAAGCCACAATGCTTAATTATAAAGAAAAAAGTCCCTGTAAATGGAGTGGACAGGTTTGCAGATTTTTTGTAAAGCTAAAATTAAAAATATGACCATACATTTGAAAACTCACAGTAAAACTTGTCTGTAATATTTAATTAACCCACAGTTACTTAGGACTAATGGCACAGGATTTTTGTTTGTTTTTGAGAGATTTTTATATGAATTTTGGACAAACTTTCATTAATGTTAGCCTGGTGTATCTTAGCAACTTGGAAAGCTCTTGCTACAATGTGAGCTATTAGGGCACTAGAAAATGTCACTGTTTCTTTTAAGGGCATGTGGTGGTTTGTAAGTGAACTGAAACTGCCTGTCTGGGGATGACATTACAGACCCTCTGCAGAACAGCAAAGCTAGGCAAAGGGTCAGCAAGAGTTACTGACATGCTCTGAAAAATAGGTGAGAACTGGTAATACAAAGCAGTTAACAGTGGAGGAGATTCCTTGTAGAAGATTCATTGTGTCCTCTTTGAAACTTCAGAAACACAGTTATTGAGGCTGTGACCTGGAAGGTGGATTAAATGCTCCTGAATAGAATCATAGAATCATAGAATAGTTAGGGTTGGAAAGGGCCTTAAGATCATCTAGTTCCAACCCCCCTGCCATGGGCAGGGACACCTCACACTAAACCATGTCACCCAAGGCCTTGTCCAACCTGGTCTTGAACATTGCTAGGGATGGAGCATTCACAACCTCCCTGGGCAACCCATTCCAGTGCCTCACCACCCTAACAGGAAAGAATTTCCTTCTTATATCCAACCTAAACTTCCCCTGTTTAAGTTTTAACCCGTTACCCTTTGTCCTGTCACTACAGTCCCTAATGAAGAATCCCTCCCCAGCATCCCTATAGGCCCCCTTCAGATAATGGAAGGCTGCTATGAGGTCACCACGCAGCCTTCTCTTCCCCAGGCTGAATACAGATAAAACATGTTAAAACCCAGGGATATAATGTCAGTAAGAGCAGGTCCAGGTACAGGATTCCTTGTCCTTAAAATTTTCTTTGGTCTCATTTTGACTTTTCAGGTTGACTTTAATTTCTTCTGATCTGTGTCTGTTTCAATCCATAAATGGTGTTACTCACCATCACTTGAGTACACAAGAAACTTTTTCTGTGTGCAGCTGATACCATACAAAATAAATTCCTATCTCCCTACCTTCTTTTGGGGAGGCGACAAAAGAGACCCTGAGATTCTGACTGTGTGTGTCTAGGTCTAAAGTTAAAGGGTTTATTCCTGCATGGCAGTGAGCTGTGCAGAACATGGCAGAGAGTAAATGCATAATGATTTTCAAAGAACAGTTTTTGAGAGCGTGATTCTGGTCAGAGACCAGATCCTAGCTAATACAACTCTCCACGAGTCCAAATAGCACTACATCATTTTAAACAAGCAGAGCACCTCCACTGGGTATCACACGGATCCACTCAGAGAGGAAACAATACTTAGCCATGCCCTAGAACAACTGCTCTTACCTCAGTGTGTCAGCCAGCTACTTTCATTACACCAGAGCTTTTAGGTTCCTCTCTAATCACCAGAGCAATCTAGGTCTCATGAGGGATAAATGGTTCCCTAGTCTACCCTTTTCACTGACAGAAGATGGATTTGAGGGTACCTATACCCCCTAATTCAGAAATAAATTTAAGGGGGAGAAACCAAGCCTTTAAAGTTTACTGGATTAGGAAAGTATATTTATTGCCCAGAGAAGCTGTGGCTACCCCATCCCTGGCAGTATTCAAGGCCAGGCTGGACAGGGCTTGGAGCAACCTGATCTAGTGAAACCAATGTTTCAACCCCCAGGTGCCCATGGCAGGGAGTTGGAATTAGATGATCCCTAAGGTCCCTTCCAACCCAAACCATTCTTTGACTCACATTTTCAGATGGATTAAGTACCTAATTTCCATACACTACAATAGGTTTAAGGATTGACATGCTTTTAAGAATCTGGCATTAGTTCCCTACACCCTGCTTTTTTGGCTCCTTTGAATACCACAGAGGGTGAGACCATATAACCCAGTCCTGTGCAACACTGGAAAGTTTACTTTGAGGGCTTCAGTTTGCTTCTTTCAGGGCACTCCTGCCCTAGCTCAGATATAAACTAATCAGTTGTGTGCACTTTGGTTTTGTTTCTTTTAACTGTGACAAAGTATGGCTTAAGAATTCAGTCCTTTTTAATTGTATGCTCTTTGGCATGTTCCATTAGTTCAGATTTTACTTATGTGGAGCTAATATACAGGCTGTGATGTAGCAAGGAGATTCCAATATAGGTGTAATTCTTGGAAATACAATGCTATCTTTTATTATATAGAGATGGTTAACTGGACTTCTTGTCCAAACAGAAGAGATAAAGGAAGGTTTTTCTATTACCAGAGACATGTAAGCATTGAAAGCCAAAAACATGTGAACCATTTCATTATTTTAGAAGAGTACTTAGAGAGTACAGAGGTGTTTGCTGTCCTGACAGTAATTTTGCCTCAAGAGTCTACTTCCAGAGAGGAAAAGCTAGCTATAAAAAAGGCTTTTTAAACACAAATGGAATTTCCTGAAATAATACACAGCAGATAACCAACCAATAGCTAAGGTATCGATACCAGCCTTTAACTGATACAGATTCGGTGAACGTCCACAAAGGAGTCTGGAAATAACGTACAGCTTCACTTTCTTGCTCAAGAGCTGCCTGAAAGGATTGGTAGCCAGAGAAAGCTGGTGTCAAGGTAGCATGTTCTCCCCTCCACAGGGTGCTCTCCAGGGAGCTAGTGCCATCAAGGACATGGCTCAGATCTTCTGGCTGGCAGCCAGTCACTGGAGTGCCCTTTCGGGTTGCCAGTTCCCAGCATGACGAGCACAACACAACCCCAGCAGTTTTTAAGGTAATCTGGCCAGTGGAGCATTGCTTTACCAAAGGGTGGTCTCCGAATCAATCACAGCCTTTGGCAAGTCTGTTGCCTGACAATTGAAACCAGACATGTTTTCAGTTCATTCTTTGGGTTACTACTGTTCAATGGTGATTTACAAGAGAGTGTGAGCTATGGCAATCTCTCACGCAACGTTAGATATTCCCTAAACGAATGCACATTTAGAAATCTCCTTGCTCTAAAACAATGGCTTATAAGAAAAGAAAATTTAAAGAGAAACCGTCCTTAAAAATAGGCCAAGCTGCCTTTCTTCAACATTCAAAACCAGCAAGGCAGTGCTCTGCAAAACAGAGTGCAAATGACTGCAGCAGAAACACATCCAGTGGAGTAAAACAGACCTCTAAATGGGAACCGAAGTCTGCTCTTCTCGTGTGATACTCTCAAGGCGATGTTTCTTGAGGGCACTCAGTTTTCCCTTTTCTGTCCTAGTTTGAAATGCACTCAGAAGGCCTGCTCAAAGACAGCAACACAGGGCTTCTCAGTAGCAGGCTGTATCAGATTACAAAATAAATATCACCAGTAGCAGAACACTGCTATGTTCAGTGTTTATCATTTTAGACTGCTTGTGTCTCAGCACTGTATTTTCAGCATTTACAGCTGTGAATTACACTTGATAATGGAGAAATAAAAAGGGATTATACAGGTGCTGATGAAGTTTTAGTTTTTGGGTTGCAGTCTGGAGTACACATATGAGAGACTTGGTACCGGACACAGTTTTATTTCCAGTGTCTCAAGGAAGATTTCTGCATACACTTGCAATTGTAGATTGCTGAAGTCATCAGAAGTGGTTCCAGAACTTTGCTGTCTCCACAAAGCAATCAAGTAGGAACTCCATGTGTCTGGGTCAGATCATGAGCTCTGTTTTGAATACAGGGCTCGTCTCTCTTCTTTTACCTCTATGTGAGTGTTTCATCTGCCATTTCAGAAAGCAAAAGAGAACAGAAACTGAAATGAGGAGAGAAACCTTGATCTAAAGGAGAATTTGTGTGTAGAAAGAAAATGAGAGATGCTCTGTGCTGTGATGAAATAAGGCAACATACTGCAGTGGGCGTCCCCATAGAGAATAAAGCGTTCTTATCTAATATTTACGGCCCAAACAGCTCAAGCAAATCAATTTAATCATAAATTATGTCACACATGCTTCTGGTGAACAGTACTTCCTCAATAGTAGCCATGGTACTAAACCAAACAGAACTATATTGGGAGAACATAAACAATGAACTGCAACATGAGCTTGAGAAAGGCACATCAGTTCTTGGGTCACAAACCAAAGCCTCCTGTAAATAGGAGCAGCTGGAGGAGCCTTTAACCACAGCCATCCCCTTCCTACTGTTCAGGCTTGGTGGAGGGGTCTCTACCCCTGATGGGCATGTAGGTTCAGATACACCCTATGGTATCCCTATGCTCACTCTTCCCAGATGAATTACTGTTTCATGACACAACTGAAGTATTTTTGCCCAAATCCTTGCACTAAGATTTGATCTCAGCAGGTAAATACTAAGCAATACCTGTGTGGGCTCAACATCTCTTCACCTCCACACAGGCAGCACTGACACTCCGGCTGGTAATACACACCAAAAATAAACCCCGAAAACCAACCTGAAAGCACCTGTGCTCTGCACTGTACCTGTAATCTCGTGTTATTTACAGTCAGGGTGAGCCTGCATCATTGTGAAAATATTTGAGAGGGCTTCCTTATGAATGCCCCAGGAAACAGGGATAATAGCAGTTTTGTTAACCTCGGCTTCAAGAAACAAAGAAAGAAAGAAGTGTTTGATGTTTCTGTGGTTTGGTGGTTGATTTTTCAAGAAAAGGTCTATTGGCACAGTTACATAATTGATGTGGACTTGGCCTGGAGCAGTCACACACAGCACCCTGGTGCTGGGGGCCTTTCTGGTGATCTCATGACTCAGTTTTGCTGGTATCTGGAAACCTGAAAGCTTTAGATTAATGCCCCAGTGCATGTCACTGCTAAGTCGAACTTGTGGCTTGCCTCTGCAAAATCAGAGGAGAGACTGGGTCTCTTTGATGATTCAGCAAGTAACACAAGCATGTGCATGAAGTTATGAACATGCAAAAAAATGTGTACATTGTATTTAGATGACCTCTAAAGGGCTTTGAAGGAAGATGTAGGTGAGCTTTTGCAGAAGACTTTCAGCCCAGAGAGTTCTAATATAGAGTACGAATTACTAAAAAAATACAATTCTGCTATGCTTTTGTATGTTCCTTTTGTAGAGAATATTAATGGGTAACTGTGATACTTTGTGTTTTCATTTTGCTTAGTTTCCACCTTTAAGTTGTACCAGCGTGCAAAGCATGTGTACAGCGAGGCTGCAAGAGTGCTGGAATTCAAGAAGATATGCAGCGAAGCACCTGCCAATGCGCTCCAGCTGCTGGGAGAATTAATGAATCAGAGCTATATCAGCTGCAGGGAGATGTACGAGTGCAGCTGTCCTGAACTGGATCGCCTGGTAGACATCTGCCTGTAAGTTCTGACCACAAGGAAGAGTAATCGCCTATTGAGAATATTGTTTGAACTGATGAGAAAATATGACATCACTGGCTATTGCAATTTTAAAATGAAAGTATTCTTGTCTCTTATTACAAAATTAATCTCCTGCAGGGACATTACATGGTCAATTGTTTCCTTACTGACATGCGTGTAATATTTTCAGATGAAAGCTGCAGTTTATGGCTTTATTACAGACTCTGCTTTTGGGCTGACTCATCGTCACAAGTGTTACGTTAGACTGCTGGCTCTTCTTTTTTTAAGCTGTAGAAGTCATGACTGGTTTTCTTAAAACATTATCTTAGTTGTTCTATTTGAACACTGGTACTTTCGGGGTATTTCTTAACCATTTCAGAACTGTCACCATGGCAAGAGCAGAAACTGTTACACATTCTGAGGTTGCCTTGAACTCATATTGTGAAATGCTATTGCATTTTTTTTCTATTAGAAACATACGTTGTCCAGGGTGTCAGGTTGGACAGTATTTCACCATTCAAAAGGTGTATGAGCTGTTGTAATGGCCAACACTCTACTTCTGCTTTCCACATTGTGTGTCTGAGCTTTCCCCACATTATTCACCCTCCACCTCTGCACAAACCTCATTCTTTTAGCTGGGTACCTTAACTCTGTTCATAGCAAAACAAGCCCTCTAAACTCCCAAACACATTCACTGGGTGTCATTTTCTCCTTTCTCTTCTGCCTGTATTCCTCCTCAGTTTCATATCCTCTAGCCAGAATCAGCTGAGTTTGAGAAATGGCATGAGGTGAGCTCGAAGTCACAGGTGGTTGTGTGTAGCTCCTCATGATTCCAGTTTCATACTTCAGCTTATCTGCTACAATTCCTGCTTCTCCTTGGAGAAGAGTGCACTTGGTTTAGGAAGCTCTGCCCCAAGCAAGAGCGTTACTGCCCTGCCAGAAGTGTTTTCAGGCCTGAGGTCAAAAAACATTGTTTCACTGTCTTTTAGAAGCAAATATCCCATCCTCTATCTTTCAGTCTTGACCAGAACAGAAACTGTTTTGACTTGAAGCTGAAAAAAATGAGTACCTTACCCCCTGAAAATGAAAGTTACAAAATACTCGTTCTTTACCAGCAACTGGCTTTTCTTTTTTATAAACTATAAGTGTGGATTATTATGAAAATAGGAATTTAACAATTATGCCATTTGCCATGTGCTTTCTTACTTCTGTACTGCTGTGGATTTTGTAAGCTGTAACTCCCATTTACCAGGTTTGTAAATTGGTAAGAGTATGATACAGATGATTATTTAGGTTAGTCTGATTTCTTCAGCAGGCAAGACAGAATGGCCTCTGAGCCAGAAAATACAAACTTAAAATCCAAACAGAAGACTTTTGGACATCTACAGATTATCTTGCGTATGGGGTACACATGCTGTTTCTAAGATAACACACAGAGGACCTCTGACAGCCATTGGACACCCTGATAGTAATTTAGCAATACAGGTTTTTTTCCTTCTCTTGGTAACCAATCCCATAGGTAACTCACAGGCTATGTTCAGCTTATTGCATCACATAATGATCACATAGCAGAACAAGCTATGATGGTCACTCAGCAGGGCAATTCCACCATGGTCATCCCAGCTACTGACTGTGTGTGAGAAGTGAGAACTGTCCCCAGAGTCTCAGCTGAAGACAGAAACTATAGTCCACTGAATTATCAAAACTATTGGGCTACAAAATCGTGATCCAGTGCAAGGTATCAGCACTGCCTGTTCTGTGACACCACTGACAGAGGAAGAGCCTTGAAACTTCCCATCTGCGTTATTTTTAGGTACAGTAACCACCCAGTGTTGGGTGTTGTCAGTCAATAGCGCCTGGTGACTGACCTTTGCAGAAGTAACTAGCCATTGCAAGTGTCTTCACTCAGGGTATCCAGCTTGAATCACATTGATGGGGGCTGTTCTCAGATATGCTGGGAGAAAACTATCCTGTTCCAAATCAGGAGAAACAAGTAAAAAAGGAGAACTGGTAAGATCTGCACTGCAGCGTGGAGGTACCTGTGCTACATTGAAATAAAACTACCATGGATGCTAGCAACTGCCT